ATTGAATTTTAATGAGTTCTTCTAGCGGTCATCAATATGAGATAGAACACAAGTTGTTTGAAGACTTTTTGCATATTCTCACGTTGCATGGTAAAATAAAATTTTTTAGGAGCCTTTTTAGAAATTAAATAGGCACGCGTTTGATGTTGCTTTTTGTTGCATTAGAAAATAGCAGGACATACTCAAAATTCCTGACTTTAAAAGATGAATAGCCGACATTTTTTTCCATCTATTTCATTTTTCACATGTAAACAGACTAAAAGACTTGCATAGACTTTTTATGCTTTTTCTCTCTAAAATTCATTAGAGCGATTTCTTCTACCTTGACGATTTGGCAATATTTCGAACAAATCGGTTAATCTGAGAAAAATCAACATAGTATAGAATAAACTTGGATTGGCAGTTCTGTAGTTCTAATTTCAGGTGAAGGAGATTATTGGACGGGGATTGAAAAAGTAGATGATCTCAGCATACAGCATGGTGATAATTTTGTGCTGTTGCAGAATAATGAAGATCAGGTTGGTTTTATTATGTAATGATTACAATGAGGACACGATAACCAGTGAATAGACTGCTATACGAAATCTTGTTCTGAGGGTAAATTGATTGCTTAGGACATTTTTTGTTTAGCTTTGTGTTCGAATAGTTGCTGTAACTCGAACAGCCATCGAGTCAGATTTCTGGGCTGAAGTCGAACGAATACAAATGGAACGGCTTGCCTATCATGACGCTCCACTGCTCGTTATTAACCCCATACGCTCGGAAACGGTATATTCTGAAAACTTTATCATTGCTTTGAGTATCTGTTAATGCACTATCTAGATCTCATCATCTAGTCCACGTATGTCCTCCGAAGGTGCACATCCTCCAATGCTCAATCATGTCACATCAAATAGCTCAACCTTATCGTTATCGATGATTTATAACGGTAGGAGTTCGTACTCTTTTAAATTGTGGTTATTCGAAAAAAAAAATCTTTTTAGGAGAACCTTCACCATCCTTAGCGTACTGCCTCTGCGCCCTAACGTCATTAGCATGTCAATTAGAACAACAAGGCTGTGTAGATGTGGTATTGCTCTTGTCTTCCTATTCACACATACACTGTGGGCTGTGGTCATCTAGGGTGAGCCATCGTATTTGGAACTCTCCTAAGTAGCTAGCTAGTTCCTCGAAAAGATGAACAAT